GTCATGGTCAGCAAGCTCAACGCGAACCGCCAGCAGGGCGAGGCCTTTGGCGCCGCCATGGGACGCATCTACAAGGACATTGGCTTCGGCGGCCTCTGGAACGGCCTGCCCGTCCGCATCGTCATGATTGGTACCCTGACCGGTCTCCAGTGGATGATTTACGTGAGTTTCTTTTCGTCCAACTTGTGATAGCAGCAACTGACAAATGTCGTAAAGGACTACTTCAAGATCTTCATGGGTCTTCCGACGACTGGAGGCGCGGCGCCTCCCGAGGAGAAGCTTAAATAGACGGGATTAGAAAGAGGACATTCAGAAACACGACCGGCCCCTGGCTGCATATTGGGTTGATGAGAGAAGAGGTGCGGTGTGGGTTTGCGGTGTTTGCCTGTTTCGACAACCTGTACCATGAGTTTGTTTCCTTCGCCGAATCGAAACCTAATGAGATGTTGTCGTATTATCGACCCTTGAGGGTTCTCGTGAATGTGATGGCTGTAACAAGCCTCCAGAGTTGAACATATGACGCCGATACCTCTGTTTTCAGACATTAATTGGCATGAATAGACAGGTGCCACCTACTTTTATTATGCTAGAGCGACTGCATTGTCTTGTGTGCTCGCTACCGTCGCCGTCGTCCGCCATTGTCGTCTACAATCACTATAATCTATAGTCGTCCTCGATCAAAGAAAGCCTCAAAACTAGGAGCATCAAGTGCACAGAAAACATAGTTGTGCAGACGTCTCAATCGATGTGGATGGGAGACACGTCTCCTCTCACTACACAATTGTTCAGAGTTCTGTAGCAGCAAGTCACACCGGCGAGGTATGTGGTGATAGGATCATTAACCATGCCTCTGAGGCTTGTCTTCTCGTTTGATACCTCATCTAATTCTGATGATTCTCTATATGCAGCCACTTTCTGCGGCCTTTCTAGACCCGTTTCCAACGGAGAATGCAAGAAAGCTGATGACCCTTGCCTTTTGTCTTGTTCCCAACGTACTCCCGCCGTACCATGCCGTCGTCCCCTTTAAATACTAGCACGCATGCTCGTGTAGTCGCTCTTCATGAATTAATACAAGATAGTGTTCCTTGCTCTCAACGTTGTGGTATCGCGCCGCCAAAAAGTCAAAACACGTCCTTGATAGACAGGCTGATCATAGGTATTCGTGGGTGCAGAAAGCTCTGAGGCTCACCAGCAACGCCACGCGTAAGAAATCATACCAATCATGACGGAGTAAGCTGCTCCGTCATCATCTTGCGTACCTCTTTCTCCAGATTCTCCTCTGCCGCCTTGCCGGCGACCTCGTCCACGGCACCCGTCACCTTCTCGGCTAGCTCGATCTTCTTCTGGCAAGCCTTGTAAATGAGCTCCTCTATGGTGCGAGAGGTCAGGAGGCGAATGACTTCAACGTCACGGGTCTGGCCCAGACGATGAGCCCGGTTCTCCGCCTGAATGTCGTCTTGCGGGTTGTCTGACTGGTCAAAAATGATAATCTTGTTTGCCGACGTCAGGTTGATGCCCGTGCCGCCTGCGCCAGTGGTGAGCAAGAAGGCGGTGATGTCGGTGTCGTTGTTGAACTCGTCGATCAAGCTCTGGCGTTCAGCCACCTCCGTCTGGCCATAGAGAACACAATGCCGGATGCCGTCCGTAGCGAGCACCTCCCGCAAGATCTCGATAACCTTGGCGAACTTGCTGAACACGAGCACGCGGTCGCCGTTTTCCCGGTACTGGTGTATAAGCTCCAGCATCTTGGTGACCTTGCCACTCTCCATCCATGAACCTTCAGGAACGTCAAGATGGCTGATGCAATCGTAGTCGCGGCACCATAGATGCAACTCAAAGTCAGAGCAGTTCTGCAACTCCCCAATCAGATGATCGATCCGGGGTTGCTGCAGTTCCGATTGCGGTACTTTCTCTATCAAGATATTCGCCATCTTCTCGACCTTCTTGTCATCAAAGTAGCGGCGGAAAAGCTGAGGATGAATGGCAGCTTTACGAAGCTGCATCCAGCTGTTGTTCTGATCGCTCTGACGCCCGACATTTGTCTTCTTGACTGGCCCCGACTTGAAAAGGCGTTCGTACTCCTCGTACAACTCCTTTTGCGATGGCGCCAAGTCGCAGTATGCGACATTGCAAATCTTTGCCGGCATGTCGGAAAGGACTTGTTGCTTGCGTCGTTGCAGGATGAAAGGTTCAAGAATCGTGCGCGCGCGGCTCACACGTTCACCATAGAGGAAGGCGCCATTGTTGACATCGCGGATGGTCACCTTCTGGCTGAACATGTACTGCAGCTGATCCATGCGGCTCTTGAACTGTTCTGGGTCGATGAAGTTCAGCAGCGACAGCATCTCCATCAAGTTGTTCTGGACGGGCGTGCCGGTAAGCAGCATTCGCCACCCAGCCTTGATCCTGATCAAATCCCTGTAGATCTTGGTCTTGGGGTTCTTCATCTTGTGGCCTTCGTCAAAGATGGCGGTAGCCGGGGCGAGCTCGCGCATAGCCTCCAGGTCCTCCTCTGACCCGACTTGCGTGTATGTTGTCAAGACAACGTGGTACGCTTCAGGATCTTCAAGCATCTCGACCGCAGCCTCTCTCCGTTGAGCCTGAGAGCCCTGGTAGGAGAGTACCGAGAGGTCCGGTGCGAAGCGTTCAAACTCAACTTTCCAGTTGGAGAAGGTGGAAGGCGGCACAACAACCAAATTGGGCCACGGTCTCTCTCCTTTGCCGTTCTTTTCGAAGTCCTCGACAAGATGACATATCAAAGAGATGACCTGGCACGTCTTCCCAAGGCCCATTTCGTCAGCCAGAATACATCCATAGCCGTTCTTGTGCAAAAGCGACATCCAATTGAGTCCAAACAACTGGAAAGGTCGCATAGTGCAGTGTCCGTCCATGTACTTTGGTTGGGAAGGAATCGGAGGGTCCGAAAATTTCTGTCCCCGAAAGCTCGACGGCGTCGGAGGAAGATCGCCACTAGTTTGAGTGCTGCGCTTCTGTCCTTTGAAATCAAGGTCCCACGAGCTCATCTCCTGCTTCACCCGGCTGGCCTTCTTGTCGCACTCGGCAACCACCTCATCAATGGCGTTGACGCTCTGTGTGAATTCCATGATGGCATCCACCAGAGTCTCTCCGACAGCAACCTTGGGCGACTTGCGACCCCGGGCCCCTGCTTTCTTGGAGAGGGTGACGGCTTGGACCTCGCCGATGCTGTCGAAAGGTCTCTTGCTTTCAATGATCTTGAGCTCGTCTTGCTTAATGTTCGTCATGGCGGACAAGTCCTCCATCGTGCTGGTGTTGATGACTTGAAGAGCCTTATCCTCCAAGCTACCCTTGACCGCATCGTTCATGTCGTCCTCATTGTCGAAATCGTCGTCATCTCCATCGTCGGGAATGACAATCGGCTCGTCAACCCTGTCTTCCGCAAGCTCATCCACGCCGTCATTACCGTCTCGCGGCCGCTGCGGGGTCTGTTGGGACGAGACAGGAGATCTGCCAGGCCGGCGACCTTGCATCAATCGACGTCGCTTCTGCTTCGGTGGCGAAGGTGTGGTGCTCCGTGATGGAGTAGGCAGATTCGGCGTGTGACGCCCGAGGAGTCGGGACTTGGTTGGGACATTCGGCTTCGTAGAGCTCACAAAGCTGTTGTGCTTGCTCTTGAGATGCTTGCCATCAAGCAGATACTCAATGGCATCAGAAACGCTGTTGTTACAAGCACCCAATGCCTCCTTAAAGCAGTATGTCGGTAGGGTACGGCCCACGACGTTGGCAACCTGCTCGATCTTATCCTGGAGCTCATCGACCGGAACATATTGAAAAGACGAAACGTGCTTGTTGAAGGAAGTCCGGCTGATATCTCCCCTGCGCTTGCTATCGCTCTCCTCGTCTGAAGAATCATCAACCACGACGGGCTCCTCGGCGGGTCTCTTGAGGGTCTTTGCTGTCGCCGGAGACTGAAAGCGGGCCCCAGCAGGCACGAGGCGATTGAAGTAGCTCGATACTACGGCCGGCTTCGGAGGCTTCGATTGGAAGGGCGAGGAGGCAGGAACCTCAATCACCGATCGCGACGAGGGAGACGAGAACGGGTCCTGCAGTGCTAACGGTTGTGTCGGTTGCGTGGCTTGTGAATTGCGCTTGATGATCTGTGTCGCTTGTGTCTGAAAAGGGGAGCAGGGAATCGTCTCCGCGAGCTCGTCGGCATCGCTACTGTGGTGTTGAGCCTTAGAAGATGGCGCTGAGCGCTTGTATGTAGACTCTTCCGCCGCCGGAGGCGAAGAGCTGAGATCCCAAGGAATGGGCATGGCTGGCGTAAACTGCTGTGGCCAGCAGAGGAAAACAGAGATTGGTTTGTTGAAGAAGAGAACAATGGCCGATCAACAAAGCGGGGGGCTGGTGTCGTGGGAAATAATAAAGAGATCTCAACAGGCGCTTCCTGAATGTGAAAACCGACTCTATAATCGCAAAGTGGGCGAAACTGTTGGAGCTGAGCCAGCAAAGATCGCGAGGAAAGAGCGACGGGCCTGGCAATTTGGGATTGCTGGCGATTTTTGGTAGGAGCGGTCGAGATTTGAGGAGATGGCGGCTCGACGCAGGGCCTAGGTGGGATTTTTCTGGGGCAGATCCCCCCGTCCGTTGACACGGCAGACCGGCGAGACGCGGTCAGAAGAGACCGTAGCGCGTAAGCACGTGGCTCGCGTCATCAATTTAAAAGCCGTACGGCACAGTGTCAACTCCAACGGTACCTGCTGTCTTTTGGCTGCACGCCTCAATCTGGTGAGCTAAAATACCTTGAAGAGGTGGGACTTGCGATTGACGACAGCTCCAACGTCCATCAATAACGAGACTGTCCATCATACTCATCGTCTCTGTCCAGCACCTTCATTGTGAGTCATACTCTTCTTTTTGTTCCTGCGATCACCACGCTGACTGTTATATATCAGTGCAATAATTGGGACACATCTGCTGTTCACTCAGTCAGCCCCAAGCTCCGGCATTCCGACAACACAATGGCTACCCGACGCATCGTCGCTTCAGAAAAGACCATCCTAGAGAAGGATGATCGTGTTGGCGCCAGCCCTGCCGCCGGCGAGAAGTCCAACATCACCCCGGCCGTGCCGACGGATGTCATCATGAAGCTTCTCGGATTCACGCTCGCAATGATTGTGATGCCCATCGGAACTTATTTCGCGACGGTCGATTTTCTCTTCAAGGGTGGGTTCTAATCCATGGACCGAGCCGACGAGAGTCGGAAATGCTGACAAACAAACCCAGGCAACTCGACTTTCGCTGGAGGTCTCGCCGCCGTCGTAGCCAACGTCGTCCTGATCACGTATGTCATCGTTGCTATGAAGGAAGACCAGAGTGATCAGCTTGGCGACTGGAAGGAGGCGAAAAAGGATCGCTAGAGGCCGCGTTTGCATAGGCCGCGTTTGCATGGGCTGTTGTCTCACTTTATAAATGACCACATGGAATGCAACTCTTCATGCCGAGATGCACTACGTCTACGCCAGGCACATGTTCCGAGATACGGTTTGTTTCTCAAGCAAGTAATTGCAAATCTATTTTGCCGTTCCTTCCTACTTCTGCGGATCTGCAAGCAAGCCGTTCCGTCCCATTAGGACAAGTAAGAAGCGATTACCGGCCTCAAGTCTCCAGCTGCGTCACCGTAGGCTGTTTATAGCCGCTGGGAACTGTGCCGTGACCCGACCATCTGTTTCTGAGATGGTTTTTCATAATCTCAATATCGTACGAATCGTATGCATGTACCGTCATCCAACAATATTAAACCGTCTTTTTGAATAGAACCAGATGTCACCTGGTTGTTCAACCTGTCCGCGGGCAACCCAGCCCATCCGTGATCATGAGGACCGCCTCGAAGCCAAATGGCAACTCGCCGTCACCGGGCCAGCCCAAAGTATGCTACGCTGATCTCCGGCCGAGGTGCCTTGCCGCCTCCCGCCTCGTGGGTAGAAAAATTGGGGGTATCGACAAAGAAAAACTGAAACCATCTCATATCTCATGCCTTGCGCCCCTCAAGATGACTTGCTGAACCTGCGGGAAAACCAGCTCTTCCTCTTGGCAGGCTCGGGCCGTTGCTGCTGCTGCTGCTGCTGTTGCTGTTTCGGCGGTTGCGGCGGTTGCTGCGGTTGCTGCGGGGCTGCCACCGGCCTTCGCAGCACATTCGAGTTTCCGGACACTCGTGGACCAGTCTTGATGTTGATCGGTTGTTGCTGCTGATGCTGCTGGTGCTGCTGGTGCTGCTGGTTGCTCGGTCCGCCGTTCTCGAAGTTGAAAGAGGGTGGCTCGGATGTCATTGGCTGGCTGAAGCCGATTCCGTAGTCGTTCGCGGGCGCTTTCTTAGGGGGCGGAACACGCTCGACAGAACTGTTGTCGCTGCTGGTCGGATCTGTGTGGTATCCCGCGTGCTCGCCCGAGCTTCCACTTCCAGCCGCAGAGGTTACCGTTTCGTATGAGCGGTCCTTGTTGGGCAAAGGGTAAATATTCTGGTCGCCTCTCCCATAGCCACTCATGTGCGGTTCTGTTTGCGTTCGCGGTACTCTCTGGCGATAAGGCATATCGTTTCCGTTGTGATAGCCTCCTCCATGTTGATAATTATCGTAGTAGCTCTGTCGGTTGTTTCCCATGCCAAATTGGCTGCTCTCGGGTCGGTATGATGCAGGGCGACTGCCATAGTAGCTGTCCTGGGGGTAGCGAGGTCCACTGGCTGGTTGGGGGTTAGCGATATCGCCTGCTTCATTAGATGATTGCAAGACTTACTAGCATAGTAGCTGCTTCGGCGGTTCCATGTCGCGATCGACTCTGTGTCTACGCGAAAAGTGTTAGACGCAACGGGTCTCCAGGGGGATGAAGTAGACGTGCCTGAACGAATATAAGACTTACGACGGTCCCTGTCACGGTAACCTCCATCAATCGCGGCCTCGAAGCTGCGAATGGTGTCTAGCGGTCGCTCCCAGCGGCTGCGGGTAGGGTTGGACCGGTCAGGCTCGGCTGCATTAAAGAATCAGCCCACACTCACCACCGACATTTTGCAGGTTTCGCTATAACGTACCAATGGGATTGCCGAGACCATCCTTGTGTTGTATTGCGCGAAGAGGGGCGAGAGAAGTCTGTTCCATAGCCTGAACGGCAGCTGTTCATAGTGTGTTAGTGTATGCGCCTTGACCAACGACCAACGCATGTCGAGGCGACTTACAAGGCTCGGCCTCGCTCATAGCGACGGTAGGATCTGCCTTGGTATGTAATCTCTTTGCTTCCTTCTCTTCGGGTGTTTCGTGAAAGTCGATCTTGTGGCTGCTTCCAGAGCTCTTGTGGGATTTGTTGGACTGGAAGCTGAAAGTCCTGGGCCTTGATCGGGAGCGCCTCTGCTGATTCTGAGAAGAGTGGCTCTGGGACTGGGGAATCGGGGGCGGCTGCGGGCGCTGAGGCTGGTCGTACTGCTGTTGGTAGGGAGGGAACTGAGACGGTGCTTGATACTCGTCGGGCTCTTGGGAGTAGTACTGTTGCTGGTTCGGCTGGTGATGCTGCTGCTGCTGAGGAGGCAGGGCGGGAAGTGGATGATGCTCTGCCATGATGGGCGGCCGGGGGAGGGTACTAGTTTTAATTGATCTGTCTCGCTCGGTGACGGGCGGTGGGCGCAGTGGCAGTGGGCAGCGGGCCTGGGTCTCGGCGAGCAAGGACGTTTGATGGAGCTATTGCGTGCCTTATCGCGGGTCAGCAAGGGGAAGAGTGGGCGGGCGATTCCCAGGAGCTCGCTAGCGAAGCAGCCAAGGTAGTGTTCCCAGGGGGAGGCGTGATATGGAGCAGTGCAATGTGGACCGATAGAAGGGGCAGAAGGGGTGCGTGTGGTGTTTCCGGCAAGCTGCCGGGGGGGGGAAGTGGATGCAGGACTAGCAGCAGGTAGTGTACCCGTAGAACCGGGCTGTTTCCAGTGTTCCACTGATGGAGATATGATTGTGATGGGAGAACGAGAGCAGGAAGCAGGAAAGAAGCGTGGTGTTTGTGAGGACTTGTGCAGATGTGTGTCCTCTCTTTTTTTTTTTTTTTTTTTTTTTTTTTTTTCTCGGAGAGGTGTCTCAAGGAGGCAGAAAAGCAGGGAAGATAGTGTCTCGTATGTGGCTGGGGGGAGGCGAGCTGGCAAAGGTAAAGTTGGCAAGGTACAGGCCCTTCTTAGTCGCGGGAAGCAGAAGCAGAAGCAGAAGCAGAAGCAGAAGCAGAAGCAGAAGCAGAAGCAGAAGCAGAAGCAGAAGCAGAAGCAGCCTGTACTGGTGTGCCGAGCAGGAACGAACGGCCGGGCAACCACCACCACGACCACCACGACCACCACGACCACCACAACCACCAGCAAAGCTCCAATACCGACCTGCAACGGGGTAGTGCGATGACACCCACACGCGTGGGTGGGCGCGGTGAGGTGGGAAAACGATGACGGCGGCGGGGAGGGTGAGGATTGAGGCAGGTGGGCAGGGTTAGGTGAGAGATACGTACCTGTCTGTACCTGTGCCTGTAAGGAATTTACTGGCCGATGTTTGGCGACGGGATGCTGCAAGCTGCAACAGAAAGGCGGGAGTCTGAGAGTCTGATGGATTCTGATGGGGGCAACTTCGGGCGAGCGACGCCGGGATGCTGCTCCTGCTGCGCTGGGGTGCGCCGCCTTTGGGGGATGTTGCAGGGAAGGACGTGGTCCGCAAACGGCTAAGCGCCGCCTCTTTTTTTTTCTTCCCTTTCGATGGAGATTGGGGTGAGAGGCTGGGGGCGCTCGCTCGCACACTGAACAGGGCCCTGTTCACTGGGTCTGCCCGGACGGTAGGCGCCTCCTGATTGTCCGCGAATGTCTTGGTGATGCGATTTGCCGGTTTCTGCTCCGTCTGGGTTTTTTTTTTTTTTTTTTTTTTTCCCCTTTCTGCCCGCGTCGATTCAGTGCAGCAATTCGCCGATGCAGTCACTGGTAGCAGCAGTCGCTGTCTTTCTTTTTTTTTCTCTGCCGTTCACCGATGATTGTGCAGGACCTTAGCTGGATTCAAGTCAAGGTTGGTCTGCAGTCTATTTTCGACGATCCGTTGAAGAAGGCCGGCAGTGCTGTTTGTCGGTTTCGTAATGATGGGCAAGTAAACTGGGTAGCCTGTTTGATGGCCGGGGGTGATCGGTGATCGAATGCGACGTCGCGCGTTCTCAGGCGTGGTTGCTTGGGGTGGGCGTGCGTGGTGGAAGGTATTCGTGGGCGGCGGACCCAGAAAACCGATGCTCCAGCGGATGGGCAATGACAATGCCAATGCAGACCACCGGGCTAAAGCAATGGGCAAATCAATGGGCGAGTGAGTGGCTCAATGTCCAGAAACGCCCCCTGCTGCAATCGGTTTGTCGATGGCCACAATGGCTGACGTCAAGCCGCTGTAATCGTCGAGTGTTTCAGAGCCTCTCGTGCCGTCGCTCAGACCTGACAATTTGACAACCCGAATCTTCCTTTTGCCTCACACTCAAATGTCCAGGTGGTCTCCCTCTTCCCTTTCGGCGCTTGGCGTAGGGTAGGGCGTCCTGATACCGGTCTTGGGTTGAGTGAGCGAGTGGGTGGTGTCTGATGTGGAATTGCGGAATCAGAATAATATGGATCGGATGGCTGCTCCTTGCTGCAGTCGGTAGGTAATTCGGACTTCTGCCCAAGAGCCCCAGCGTTAGCAACCACAGACTTGCATTGGATCAATATGCACCAGCTGAATCAAATGTCTCTTTCATCCCACGTCGCCGTCGGAATCGCTGTCGCTGCAGCGCACGGCACTGTGGCACGGCCTGGTGCTGCCGCCGTCCGCAGCTTGCTTGCAGATGATGACGGGGGGATGAGCCAAAAAGAAATTCCCTCCTCTGTGCGCACCTTATTTCCAATTAATTTCTCCCTAGCTGCTGTCGATTCTCCTGTCGCCTTCCACGTACGTTATTATCCCGACCGTCGATGATGATCGGTTGTTGGCTTTTTGGCTCGCTGGGTCCGGGCCCTGGCGACGCTTTGCTGGTTAAATTGGTTTTCTATGATGGTGCGCTCTGGAAATTCAACGGCGTCAATAGTGTCCGAGACCACGTCGCGATGGCCGAATGAAGGAGCGATAAGAGAAACGAGACGGGCAACTGCGGCTACGAAAAGCAACAGACTGCAGAAGCACACGAGGGCGAGGAAGGGAGATTGACAGTCGGCACAACAGCGAGTTGTGGTGGTTTTGACGCACACTGCCAGAGGTGTCCCGCGTGCTCTGCTCCGAGTGCTGCTCTGGTGGCTGAGAGCGGGTGGGTGTAAGTGAGGGCAAGGTATGAGAGTGTGACTGAGCGGCTGCAATGAATGGCGTGTATGTGCAGAGATGTGAGACCTCGACTGGTAAAGCAGAGCCGAAAGCATAAA